CAATGGAAATTAATGATTGAAAATCAAACCAATAGGAAAATCAAAGCACTAAGGACTGATAATGGTCTTGAATTCTGTAATTTGGAATTTGATTCCTTTTGTAAGGAATCTGGAATTCTAAGGCATAGAATCATAACATACACCCCTCAGCAAAATGGAGTTGCTGAAAAAATGAATAGAACCTTATTGAAGAAAGTCAAGTGTATGTTACATAGTTTTGGACTTTCAAAGTTCTTTTGGGGTGAGGCCCTAAAAACAGCAACATATCTTATAAATAGAAGTCCCTCAAGTGCCATTGATTTTCAAGTCCCAGAAAAATTGTGGTCAAACTCTATACTTGATTATAATGGACTTAAAGTTTTTTACTGTACTGCATACTTCCATCAAAATGAAGGTAAACTTGAACCAAGATCCTTGAAGTGTGTCTTCTTGGGGTATGGGGAGGAAACTAAAGGGTATAGACTTTGGGTTAAATGTCAAAAAGGTTATAGGGTCATCATCAGTAGAAATGTCATCTTCAATGAAAATGAATTACCCTGTAAGACATCATCATCTGGAATAGAATCTGCTGAACCTATAACTATGAAAGAGGCTATTCTTGAAAATCAAATGATCAGAATGACTTAATTGAGGTGGAGACCACCCAATCAGATATTAATCAAGGTATGAGTGAACTTGAAGATGAAACTGCATTAATAGATCCATCCCTAGCTGACTACCAATTGACTAGAGATAGAGATAGAAATCAGAAAGTTAGGGATTGTAAATGGATCTTCAAGATAAAAGAAGGGGACTCTAGTATTAGAGATAAAAGATACAAAGCTAGGTTTGTTGCTAAAGGGTTTACCCAAAAGGAAGGAGTGAACTATAATGAAATTTTTTTACCTGTTGCTAAATACACAATTCTAAGAATTTTGCTTGCCTTAACTGCCCACTTTAATTGAGACCTTGATCAGCTAGATGTAAAGACTGCCTTTTTTAAATGGGGACCTTGATGGGACCATTTACATAAATCAGCCTAAACGTTTTGAAGAAAGAACTAACACTGAAAAAGTTTGCCTATTAAGAAAATCACTTTATGGCTTGAAGCAGGCTCTCAGGCAATGGTACAAGAAGTTTAATTCATATATTCAAACCTTGGGTTTTGTCAAAAGTAATTATGATTCCTGTTTCTTTTTCAAAGGGTAAGGTGGACCTGAATCCATTTATTTACTTCTATATGTTGATGATATGTTGCTTGCTTGCCCAAATAGATCTGAAATTGATTTTATTAAAGTGAAATTAAAATCTAAATTTGAAATTAAAGATCTAGGACAAGCTAAAAAGATTCTTGGACTGGAAATAGAAAGGAATAGGAAAGATTACACCTTATGCTTAAAACAGTGTGCTTATGTAAAGAAAATACTTGAAAAATTTTCTATGACTGATTGTAAACCTGCTTCTTTACCTGTTGCAAATCATTTTAATCTATCCAATGAACAGTCACCAAAAATCGTTGAAGAATTTAAAAGAATGGAAAATGTACCATATGCAAACATTGTAGAGTCCATAATGTATCTTATGGTTTGTACTAGACCAGACCTAGCTCATGGTATAAGTATACTAAGTAGATTTATGGCTAACCCTGGTGAGACTCATTGGCTGGCTATGAAATGGATTCTAAAATACTTGAAAGGCTCATCAGATATAGGTTTGCTGTTTAAGAACAGCAAAGAAGGCATAATTCTTAAAGGATACATTGACCCTGATTTTGTTGGAGACTTAGATAAGAGAAGGTACACTTCATCATATGTTTTCACTTTGTGTGATGTGTGCATTAGTTGAAAATCCCAATTGCAAAAGCTAGTGGCTTTGTCATCCATGGAGGCAGAATATATAGCTGCATGTGATGCTGTTAAAGATGGTCTTTGGTTAAGAGGGTTATTTAATGAAATTGGATTCATAAATAATTCTGTTAGAATTTATACTGAGAATCAGAGTGCTATTCATCTTCGCAAAAATCCTATGTATCATGATCGAACAAAACATGTTGATATTAAGTTTCACTTTGTGAGAAACATGGTTGAAAAGGGTCTGATTAGTTTAGTAAAAATTCCAACATAATTTAATTCCTCTGATTTAGGGACCAAAGTACTGCCTTTAACTAAGTTTAAAAACTGCTTGAAAATTCTAAACATCACTTGAAAGGTAGCGTGTTTAGAAAAATCAAGCTGTATTGTTTTAGATATGTACTAACTTTCTCCTTTTTGTTTTTACAGGTAAATAAGAGCAAATGAAACAAGTTGATGTCTAGACCCTAGAAATTACCAAGAATAGTTCAGCAAGGTGAAAATTGTTAAGTAATTGGGCTGCCTCATATTCTTGGTCCATAATATTTGGGCCTATGTTACTGAGTGTGGATAATTGTTCAACTCGGATGAAGAAAACGTGATCCTTTTAAACGCGCCTCTTCCAATTAACTAATGCTTGATCAGGCCGTACACTTGGCCATCTCCCAACCGTTGATCTATGGCTCTTTGACTGATTGCTTAAAGCATTGTTTGACCATACACTTCATAGATGGTTGAACTTTGTGTTTTAGGGTTTTCTTTCCTCCTTCTCTCTAACCACACCGTATATTCTTTATGAGTTTCTTGATCTGAAAATCTGAGTGATCCTGAGATTCTACACTTAATGTATACTGTGAGAAAGGTTCTTAGTGATTTGGTGTGGTTTTGTACTGTGTGTTGAGGCTAGAGGAAATATCGAAGAAATCTCTGATTTCTTCGTACATATTGTTACTTTTCTTGGTAATTTCTTAGTGGATCTAGAGCTTTGTCCACTTGTGGATGCTCAACGGGTGAGTAGGTCGTAAGATTGAACATCCCGGCCCTTTGTGGCGAAAAATTCTTCGTGTTCTTGATTCCTTTTAAGTTTCTGCAATTTTAATACGTTTTTATTTCTGAAAATACAATTTTAAACCAGATCCTGATACCAACAAAAGTCATCAATATTGTATTTAGAATAGATTTATTTAAATATTTCCATGTCCTGCAAGCTAGTGGATCACCTACCTAATCCAAAGTCAACATGCAACAGACGTACGGAGAAATTTGGAAAATCCAAAACAAATGACATCAAGTCAAATAAAGTACAGCTAATATGTTACCGTACACATCGTTTTCACCTCGTAATAAAATGTAGACCCACCTTTCATGCATAGAAATTAAAGTTTGCTCACGTTTTTGTTCGCAACATATTTTTGACTACCCACTACTAATGTTCCCTGGAAAAAAGGAAAAAAAGAAAAGAAAAGAAAATTAAACAAAACTTTATTCCAGCCTTTTAGTAGCTGAGATGAATTAATCAAATATGAGATTATAAATCTGGATTTCTTGTTTGCCATCCATCAACTTGCTGATGTTATTTTAACTTCCCTAAAGCCTGTTTGGGAGTAATTTTTTGGCTCAAAAAATTGATTTTTTGACCATTATTTCATTATTCCAGTTGTCATATTTGACTTCTTCTCTCATAGATGAATCCTACTTTTCTCCCAATGGTCAAAAAATTAATTCTTAAAATTACTCCCAAACAGGCTAATAATCTTATCGTCGATTTAAAACAGGAGTCTACTTTATACAAATTGATGGAAAATATTAGCTAGATTCAATAGCTATGGATAAAAAATATAACATAATTGTATAACTATTCATTTACATAGCTTAAAAATAATTTTCGAGTATTATGTTATTTAGCCCCTTTTGGTAGCAATTTTTCACCCCAAAAAAATCAATTTTTTGACAGTTATGTTACTATTGCAGCAGTCATTTTTTATTTCTTCATACAGGTGGAACCAAATTTTTCTCTAATGATTAAAAAATAAATTTTCGTAATCACTACCAAACAAGTCAGTGTGATGTATACATGTATGTGCAAAAGCATGACAACTCTGACAATTAAATTGTCTACCTAATAACACAAAAATTAGGGCCTCCTGTGCTTCTGGCTTGCTTTGTCGATGGGGAGTTACAATTTACAAATGATTTTGACTATGCCCCCGTTTGGTCCCCATTTTTATCTAAAATGCATTTTTTCTATCAAATCAATGTGGGACCTACACATTATTTTATCATTTGATTTGAACTCAAAAATCCTAAATTTCCAACTTTACCCTTTGTCCGTCTTCACCAAGTTGGCAGATTCTACCTCTTGAAAAGTCAAATAATTGGATTTGTTACACATTTCCCAAGAATTCATAACACACCCCCACCAAACGTTTTCCAATTTTTTTACATGAAATGGGCCACTGTTTATCATTCCACCTCCAAGGTTGCCCACCGTATTGCTGTAAAAAATTGTCACAAAAATCCAGCAGCAATTGTAACATCACGACAACCTAACGTGCATGCGGACCGTGATGTTCACTTCACTTTAATTATCGATTTTTTCCAAAGAAACGTGGAAAATTAAAAATGATAAATAACATTTTGAAATTCAGTTGTACACATATTTTAGCTTATATGTTCGTTGTAGATAATAAAATGTTTTGTACGAAAACGATTAATTTTTCAAAAAAAGTAACTTCGAAAAATTAAAAAACTTCAATTTGGAAACATTCTATTGTACCAACTACGCTCGAGAGTGTCTACGAATAGAAGCATTTTAATTCTATTACGAAGCGCTACGTACAAAAAAAAAGGTAGTGCACGGTGAACATTTTTGGCGAAGAGTAAAGTTAAGGGTGTGTTCGAAATGAAGGAAAAATACGACTTCAAGTGCATAATTATTCGTATGAAACACTATACAACTGTGTAGGTTCGGGGGAAAAATTATTGTTCATTGTACCGAGGAAATGCATACAGTAAACACGTTGAAAAAGGGAAATACTTGGACCTTAGATATTTTCGTGAAAGATGGTCAATAATTGGCCCCTACTACATTGCACTTTTACAACCAGGAAAGCAAACAGTTTCATAAGACTTACATGCAAGGCTTTAGAATATTTAAGAAACATATTGGCATCATGGCTGCTGCGCCATATAATCTCGAAGTCTGTCCCACTCACTTCGTTGCATTTCCGGTGCATGTATTTCGGCTTGCATTTCATCTTCCACATTGGGAAGCTCCACCTCAGCTGCATCTTCATCCACCTGCTGAAAATGGTACAGTATGTCAGACTCTTTGTAGGGGGCCATATACCCAGGGCGATGAGCAAACCCGGAATCCACGAAATAGTACTTTCTCGGGGCCAGTAATGGGAAATGTATTTCCGGATCATGGATAGCACGTGCAAGCATGCGTGCATCATGTGTATTGCCAGAGTACCCTGCAAGCACGAACGTGAAGCATAAATTAAAGTCACAAGCAGCCAACACATTCTGTGTCGGCACACCTTTTCGCCCTATGAAGTTTACACGCTCATGTCGCGGTAGCACAGCTTTTACATGCGTTCCGTCAATTAGCTCTGATGCAATCTTCGAACAATGGATGCTTGCTCAGATCTGGCCTATGTGGCTCGACACCATCGTTGTAGTTCTCACTAGGACGAATCAGGCGTGTTGAAAGTGCAACGACTGCACGTAGAACCTCTTTAACATAGTGACATACAGTTTCCAATGAATGGTTGAAAATCGTTGTCACCTGTCGATATCATTTCCCGTGCGCTAATATGCATAAGAACATGCCAACTTGCTCGTAGATGTCAACATGCTGGTTGCTACATAGCCCATGCTTGTCGCGCAACACATGAGCGAAATGTCGGACCATTGCAGTATACATACGAAATTCTTGAAAGCACATCTTACTATTCTCGCCCATTGCCTCCATCATGAACATGTAACCGTTCCTTGAGAAAGGAAAACGTGGTATACGACGCTGTTACCTGTAGTGATATTTTCTTGCGTCATCGCCGGCAATTCTGCAGTATGAAAGCCAAACCGCTGCATCGATCGCCAAGTTGTAGAGAAACTGGTCTTCATCGCATTCGTCATTTGAGTCGGATCCCAGTAGTAGAACACAGTTGAAGTTGAAGTCATTTGTAACGCAAAACATGATGAATTACTAAAATTACACAACAAAAGCGGGTTCTGGAGTTGTGTAGAACGCAATTTCATCACACACCCTCACAGCTCCACAATTTTTTCTTCCCTACTCAATGCATGGCCTTTTATAGAGAGTGGGAATGATTGGGAGTACATTCTGTGCAATGGTGTACTGTAGCTGTCAATTTGTAGGAATTGTATCAATAATAGTGCACTTACAAAAAATATTCACGAGATTCTATGCAATGGTGTACTGTAGCTGTCATGTTGTAGGAAATGTGCCAATAATGGTGCACCTGCAAAAAATATTTATTCGTGAAACGTGCATTTTTGTACAAAAGATTTTTGCTCTGAGCAAATCTTTTTTATGCTAACTTTTCGTGACAGTTTTTCAACTTCCACAAGTTTTTCGTGTCAACAGTTTTTTTAACGTTCAAAATTTTCGCGTGCAAACTTGGTAACTTTGCAGGCACAGATCGTGAAAAATATCATGTTACATCCAGTTCGACCTAAAATTGCCTCGTTGGACGTGTAAAATATTAACATGATAAAATGATCGTGGTGAACAAGCGAAAATGATTTTCACATCTAGGCACGTAGCGCATTTTCAAACAGTAGGGTTCAACGGGTACAGACAGTTGAATACAGAAGTTAAAAAGTTTTTTGGGACAACACATAAGTACATCTAACGCCTCCACTCAAAGGTGAAATTACTTGTCCCGCCCATTGAAATGCCACTCAATCCATTCAAATTTTTCATCCGCATCTTTTATAACGGCGAGCATGTCTCAATAGTGCTTTTGAGCCAGAATAGCACGGGCGAAAAAGTATAGCGGTGTACGCCGTTCAAGCCGTCCAGTCGCCAGTAGCTCTTTTATACAGGCAGCGCCGGTGTTGTCATTTGAGCCCATCATGGTATTAAGCTTCGCCACCACTTCCTCTGCAGCACTTGTGGCTCGATCGACGAAGAACGATAGCTCGCGTGCAGACTTTTTTTCTTCTTACCCCGTCGCGTCGCACCGGAGGACTTCCTTTTACCGTCGCTTATGGTGTCGGATACGTTAATGCGGGATCCACTGGGCATTTGCTCAGCCTCATCACTTGAACCACTACTTTCCTCGTTGACGGGGATTGAATCCCGATTGTCTTCGAGCGCACTATCCTCAAACAGCCCGAACCTCGTTCGGCACAACTTAGTCAGTGTGACTGCGTACTTCTCCCCATCGTAACTATCGCCGAAAAGTGGACGATAGCGAATGTATATCTCGCTCACGTCCTTATCTTTGAACTCCTTGTAGTCTTTATTCTCCTGTGAAAAGAGGCTCACAAAAAGAGGAAAGATAAGAAAAAAGGCATTCCAAAATGTACCAAAAAATAATGAACGGGATGGTTGATTCGACATTGTGAAATATGTGTGCCGCTAATTGAAACAGTTACCCTGATCTTTCTGTTCCACCATTCCTCTGATACGACGACTCGACCGGTGGATGCGTTGTTGTACTCGACTCCGCTACCCTTTAACAGATCGAAGAGACGTCGGTAGGTTCGACGCATGGCGTCCCAATGGTTGCGCAGTTGTTGCTTTGTCCAGTTGTGCCCAGTGGCTGAGTTGAACAGCCTGGAGATTCGAGCCCAACCTTGTTTCGTAAAACAACAACTGCTACGATGGCCCTCGGCAATCAGTTTCACAGGCCGCAATAAATGTTTGGGTCTCCGAGGCATTCTACCAAGCATAAGATTTTGAACCTGAGGCTTGATCCAGCTCCTTGCAACGAACGAGCTGGGTAGCGGACCATGTCTAGACTGCAAAGTCAAGGGGCATCACGAATGAAAAAATTGCAAAATATTCATTATACGAATTGAAAGATTGTAAAATATCTACATATTAAAATTTTGAAATTGACAAAAAAAATACACGTAAATGAGGTTGTATAGATGTCTTATTTTGAAACAATGGATGCATTTCATATAAGAATTGTATTACTGTAGGAATAGTTCACCTTGAGCACATGTGCACCCGCAGAATGTTTTTGTGAAGAATGTCATGTTTGAATCTTGAAAACACAATAGCTAAGCTACACACTTTGTTTTCATCATCACTAGTAATGTTATACTTCAACAGGGTAGCTAACAGACATAACACAGTCACAGATGAATGAACGATGCTATCATTTAAAGGGGAATGCAGCGAACACAAGCACAGAGGTGTAACCAAGACTATCTTCTAGAAATTGCATAAAACATGGTAGTCTCCTTTTATGGTAGTATAGTTCAAGGGACAGATTTTGTAGAAGCGTATACGACAAAAATAATACTTCAAAAAAAAAAAAGGGTAGCCCAATGCATATAGCAGTTGAGATGCGAACCAAGAGGCAGGTGCATTTCAACTTGCCTCAATATCAATTTTGCCCAAAATCATAGTGAGAAACATCCAACGAAGTTGATTACTACACATAATTACAGTTTAAGAAATACACTAGAAATAATTGAATCCTAATGTCCAGGTAATTTGTAGTTTTACGAAAAAGTAAACGGAATTAGAAATGTTCGAGTTCGACGACGTACCGGTGTGTCGGCGGGATCCATTTGGTCGGCGGCGTTGCGGGTGTAGAGGACGTAGCTAACCGGACGGACGACGGGAATTGTTGGGCGGCGTTCTCCTTGGTGCTTGCGTGGAATAAAACTGTCCGGGTCTTCAAAAAAATGGAAGTCTTGTCCCCTGGCTGTTGCAATTGAAGATATTCCACCGTAAATTTCAGTTTGTTGTCGGCCGTTGTGGGTCTCTTGATGGTCGGCGCTAAAGGGAGAGGAGTTGCGCGTTTCTTTGGTGGATAAGGGCAAGAAATGGAAAGGGTAAAGATAAATGTTCTGAGGCAGTCACATGGGTTGTCAGATAAATTTTTTGCAACGGTCAAATAATTCATTAATTGCGCCAAAATTAATGGCCAACAAACAGCCCCATATTAGACATTTTGCATAATTATTTTTAAATATGGTAACTTTTTGTTCGTGTGTGTGTGTAATTTTCCATGTTTTGAAAGTACGGGAACGATGACCTAATCCAAAGTGAGCATGGATGCATCAAGACGTACCAAGAGATTTGGAAATCTTTAAAAAATATATATAAATAAATAAAAAATAATATCTTGAATTTAATATATCCAAGTCAAAGAAACTACATCTAATACGGAACCGTACACATTTCTCTCTCCGTGTAATAAAGATAACCCACCTTTCACCCCAAAAAATTAAAGTTTGCTCATGTCTTTGTTTGTATAATATTATTGACTATACTGACTATTAATATGTTCCATTGGAAAAGAAACAAAGAAAAAACCATTTCTAGCTTTTATGGAAAAGTAATGCTACGAAATCTCACTGGAATTGCAATCCTAATTTAGGTGACGTTAATGTAACATTAAAAGATCGGTGAAATTAAATCTAAATCTAAGTGACATTAGATGATAGACTAAATAATATGTGATATTAAATGAGTCGATTAATTTCACAAATCAGTTAATAATACTTTAGTGTCGTTTAAATTAGAGTTGCAATCCCAATAGAGCTAAATAATAAAGTTTCTGAATTCAAATGTTTGCATTAGCAAGTTCTTAGGTTAGCATTTTTTTTCCTTCTCCTTCTTCATTGTTGGGATTCAATAGAAACGGGATTCTGATGTTGAGGACTATGCATGAAAGAAGAACGAGCTTAAAGATACATTTATTTATAAAAATATTGTACATTTAAGAATTAAATATTCGATCGCATCGGTGATTTGCGTATGAATATCGATTTAGATCGAAAATCCTCATAATTTTGTAAGTTTTTATTCAATAAAAAAAAAATGAAGACAATACATGTAGCCGTCTTAAAAGAAAAACATAACCCAATTAAAATTTCACTTTTAATCCGCAGACTTTTAACAAAATTATAGAAGTCATCCCAGTAATAAATAACAAGGAAAGATAATAAAAGTTGAAATAAAAATGATTTAATTTAAAAAAAAAATTCCATCATCAGATTGTAATGGCATAGTTTGTATAATAGATTAGATCGCAATGCATAACATTAAAGAAGAAAAGAATATGTAACGTTGTTTATTGTATCATCTTAAAACCATACAAATATCAGTTCATGAATCTGTTTGAGTGGTTTCCATCCTCATCTGAATTAAGCAGCTGAGGTTGAAAGAGAGAGAAAATAAATATACAACTATTTGTATAGCTTATAGATAAATTCTAGTTTTCTATTTGATATATACATATATGTACAACAGAATAACAAATCTAACAAGCATCTTCTCTAATAAAAAGAAAATGTTTGTGCTACATGCATGTAGTGATTTACATATATCATGTGGAGAGAAATGATTGGATCAGAATTTTTTCAACCAAATTAAAAGAAAAAACGAACTTTCTCGTTCTCTTTTTGACACCCCATTTGTATGTAAATTATTATATAATTTCATTGTATACAAATAGCATTATTCAAAATAAAAAATCCACATGACCATAACAAATTGGAACTTCATCACTACAAACCGGTGAAGGCGGCAACTTACGATGGTTACATTTAGAGAGAATTAGATTGAGGTATTTTGCCTATTCTTCCTATGCTAGTAAGGAAAATGAAAGTATATGACACCTTAAACATGGACCATGTATATGTAGGATTCTACAATAATAATTCCAAGAATTAGCAACCCTAAACCTGAAGGGCCAATGAATAATTAATCTCAAAAATTAAATTTGGTCCAATAGTGATAATTAAGTCCATCCAACAATCGAACCTAAGATGTAATACTAACAAAATATTTGGTCAATGGTTAGACTGACACATTCATTATTCACTCTCTGCACAATGAAATTTCTATTTAATCTATTGCAAAATATGTCACGATAAGATTTTACAAGTTAGTATATGGGTTTAAGGAGCTAGGATTTTTGGTTGGGGCCCCAACGGTGATCAATGGTACTATGATAGTCGATGGTCGACCGTGCAGCCATAGCTGGAGAAAAGAGGAGAGCAATATTTGAAGTAAACGATAAAGTTGTTGGATTTGAATATGAATTAAATATTTGTATATGAAAGATTAGGTTATGTATCAAGTATATCTTGTCAATTTTACCTGTTCAAAATTAGATCATTCATCTCTTGCAAGGAAAATTTAAGGTTATCGTTGACGAAATTATGTAAAAAGCAAATGGAACTTGAGGATGGGCACTGAAAAGTTTGATTTGGAAGGTTGGAGATTAATTGCACAAAAAATTTTAAATTGAAAAAGGAAAAATAAGACTGACTGAAACATTATCTCCTAGATAAATTTAGAGATGTCACCATAATACAATTAGACTACCGTCCGCTCATATTCCATATGCCTTATCCTTTATGAATTGTACATAATATACACAGAGTCCACTGAGATTGAAGTCAAACCTTTAGAAGCTTACCGGAATCTCTCGGCTTTTCTTCAAGTTACTCAGAGCATTTTCACAACCCAAAGTTTATGTTTCTTTATATGCAGATAAACAAGACTGGGACCAATCAAATTTGCATCTGAAAGACGTTTGCAAAGATTGAGATAAGTGTCTACATTTCCTGGTTGTTGAATTCTTCTTCTCAATCCCTGCAGCACAGCAGCTCTGTGAAGGTATTCTGGATACAAACCCATGTCCAGCATCTTAATTACTGTCTCTGCAGCATTGTCAAAATGACCACCTTTAATATAACCTCTTAACAACCATGAAAGGGTTCTCTTCCTCCGTAAAGAACTTGTAACCTCTGTTCGGGTAAGCAACCGAGCAATAGAACTGACTTCTTTCTGGGAAGCACATATGGCCAACACAATGTCATAGATATCTCCTTCAGCCTCCTTACCAGCAAGTTTCATTTCCCACAACTGTCTTTCAGCGTCACCTCCATGCCCAGCACAGATATACATAGCAAGAAGTCTTTCATGAACCACACCATGGATTGATGAACCACCCTTTTCAATAACCCATTTAGACAAGCACACACCACCATTCAAAACATCTTCTTGATACCGGTTGATCAGCCCAACATTTTCCGCATCCAGTTCAGCAATCACACCAGATTTGGTGAAAGCCTTTAGCTTGCGTAGAGCTTTGCCTACTTCATTCAACTCTTTCACTACAGCTGTCATTGCAATTAAATAGCTGTACAACTCTGGCTCCAAACCACATTCTCTAAGGTGAATCACTAATTTGGCTGCATCCATGTAGCATCCCTCCGCCTGAAACAATCAATTCTTCACATTAACACAGGTTAAAAAATTAATCTAAAAGGTAGAAATGTGGGCAGGGAGTGTGGTTCAACTGATGTGTGGCTGAAGCATTTGTGTCACTGGTGGAGAGAGAAGTGTGAAACTATGAACAAAAACACAATCAACCAGTCGATTCCAAACAAATAACATGACACAACCTTCTAGTTTTTGTCGATTTTTAAGAATGCCAAAAAACTAGGCATCAACATTCGTTGATTCATGCACGAATATCAAGATTTCGGATAAAAAAAGTGGAGAAAATTCTCACAAATCTATTCAATTTTTAATAAAAATATTCCAACCAAAAATAACACTGTTGTGTCCACTGTTAGACCAACTTGCTGACTATAATAGAATTTGCACTCTTCGTCCCTGCAATCCTAAAAATTATAAAATTAACCCTGATTAGTTAAACTGGCATAATTAGAGAAAATAAAGTAATAAAAATGGTTCCAAGCTTGTAATCTCTTGTCTTCATGGACCACATCAGTCAATCAATCTGTCAAAACCACCATAATCTCTAAATGTCACACAAACAAAAACTGGGCTTGCAATAACAGTGGAGGAGGAAAGATGTTTTTTTACAGAAGCAATAGTAATTAGTTCATCTAGTTAAACTCTACCATGTTGCTCTTTTAAAGGATCCTCCACATCACGGCCACATTGTAAGAAAATCATCACAAGAAAAACATATCAAAGCATGTTTCATTTCCTAGTATTCTCATTTGACATTAAAACTTTGAGGTTGATAGTCTTCTTTCATGTCCAAGTATCTAATATAGAACCCCCGGATGCCTCACAATTCCTGTTCAGTACTCTTGAGCTCCATGTTCCTCCTTTGTGACCTAGGTTGCAACTTTTAGTTACCAAAAACCTCAAATCTCTCAATATAACTTCTCAATCAATGTCATAAATATTAGCATATTTGGGAAGTTATAAAATGGTTTAAATTATAAATTGATAAAAATGGGTTGTGGATAAGTGCTTAGTACTTGTGGGTCCCTTGAAATGTGTGGATAAAAAGTGACTAAAGTGTCTATAAACATGAGTGAAACATAGACCAAGTCCAAAAAACAAAACTTGGTTGATTTTTCTCCCCTCCCACTCATAGGGGAAAATATTCACGTTTATGCATACAATTGAGCAATATCACTTCATTTTCTAAAACAGAAAATATTGATCAACCTTCCTGAGATAGATACAGTAACTTAGGCTCTCAAGCTACAATGAATAGAACTTAACATTGTGTATGATCAATGTAACAGTAGGTAATTATGTCATTCCGATATTCAGGTTACCACAGCAGAAGATATGTATGTGATGATTCTCTTCTACACATTATAAAAGCAGGAAGCCACAATTACTATCCACCATCCCTGTGCATCATTGATCTTGCCACTTTTTACTTCACCACGACTTCAACTATCAAATTTCAAAAACAACATATATGGAGATTACAAAGCTTTCAAAATGTAGTATCTTTCATTCAGTTAAGTATTCGTCAAAGTGCTATATAATATTAGTAAGTAAATGCCACTAAATAGTAGTGCAAATATAAGTAAATAGATTTGCCTGGTCAACTATAGGCTATAGCGAAATTTTACATTCGGAACATCGAATCTTGTAAAATCAAGGGAAAAGTTAAAAGCTTAAGAATATTATTTAAATAACTTGAACATAATGAATTTGATTATGATCACAAATAAGCCAAGGTGTCTTCTTATATAAGTATTGATAGAACAGGTGATCTCCAAATCCTAGTAGGCTAAAATGAAAATACATCTCCTAAAAGGAAACAAAAGGTAATCTCCTAAAATAGTAGGCCTAATCATTTCACTGCTAAGTCTTTATTTGAGATTGTGTACATCCAGCCTCCTGGACGTTCATTGGGCTTGATCCTCTGACCCGACTACCTAACAGCCACCCAACAGCAGAAGAGATGGCAAACAATGTTCAATTTGGTGCAGCAGTAGAAACTAAATCTAGTAAAAACAAGGGAAAAAACTGAAAGCTTAAGAATATTATTTGACTAAGTTGCATATATCGAATTTGATTATGACTACATACAGGGAAAATTGCACCATTCATCCCAACTTAGGGCCTTGATTCCATTGTCATCCCCATTCTATTTTTGTTGGAGGCAAAGTCCCAAACTTAGATCTTTTGAGTGCGCAAGTAGGTCCTTACAGAATCCGTCTATTTTACCAGTGCACGTGAATATCACATGCTAAAATTTTTAACTGAGAAGACCATAAAACCTTTGCATTAGTTAAAATTAAGAAAAGAAAAAATGCAAATTCATTTGTCTTCTCCAACTACACCCTCCCCACCACGATGTCCCAGTCCCACCACCACCAGTGTCACCAACACGAGCACAACCAGAACCTATCACCACACATCCAAACATCGATCCATGACACCAAATCCTCCCCTTCTTCATTCAAAAGTTTACTAACAACCAAGCCCCTTCCAACCGCCATATCCTTTTATAAGGTTTTCTCATTATTATATATTCAACTAAGCAAACCCCATATGGAGGCTCTGCTGATTCGAATGAGAGGCAAATAGTGACGGTCCATTTAATATATCTGTAAGCATCCTTGCTCTCACCTTACAAACACACGGAAAACCCAAATTGCAAAAATCAACTGGGCCAACACCATTTTCTCCATTGAACTACAGAGAAAATGAACGCCCAAGCCTTTCTATCTGCAATATCGCACTATATCAGGCATTCTCATGGCCATTATAAATTTTCTCAGAGTAAAATGCAGCGGAAAATAAGAAATATATTCCTTTGGTGCTCTGAATATGAGGATTTAAGATCTTTAATTAATATAAAATGCATATAATATTTTCATTGGTTATAAACAGCAAACTATAAGAATACTGAATCTAGTGACAAGAACCAGAATGCTCAAAAACTACAGCATATAAGTGAACTAAAAACAGAAAAAGTAGGGAAGTTTCCTCAAAACCAACACATACCCTGTCTGCGTGAATGCACTTCAAAAAATGTGATTTAATGCAAAAATTGCTTCACTGCTGCAAGAGGGATTAGCAAGTGGAAATATAAATCTACAGACATGCTTTACAAAAGAAGGATTCACTGGATAAACCTACCCATTGCTAACTTTCATATTCGTCTTGAAGCGTAGAAGGAAATCAGTGGGGTGCTGTAACTGGAGTTGGCTGGAAGTGGTGGCAGGGGTGGGGGGCTGAACCAGGGGGAGCCATTGGTGGAAAAATGACGGCATGAGCTGGGTTTTATTAGGATTTTTATTTTCTTCTTTTTCCTTTCCTTTCTTTTTCTATTTCCTTTATTCTTTATTCTTTTATAATTATAGCAGGGAACGGGATTGCAGCAGCAGCCGAACCATTTTACCCTTGAAAAGTTAGGCATGTTGTGTTCACATGCAAAATAACGGTCAAAATGGACAGATTTAGTCTCCATGGACTACTTGCATACCTAACCCATAGGTTGGAGACTTCATCCTGAAAATCATAAAATGAGGACAACATTGCAACCCGGCCATAGATTGGCGACAAATGGCATTCTATCCATTTGGAACAAGTTTAGCCCTCTTTTTCTGTAGGTATTGAAAGAAGAAGTAATCTCTTGATTCTATTAGACTAAGAAAAGAAATCTACTAAAAATAAGAAAACTAATAACTTACTCCTACAAGAATTACAAATCCCATCAAAATTGTAAGACTAAATAAAACTAATAAAAATAACCTAATTAAGGGCCCGTTTGGTAGAGATTTTGAGAATTGATTTTTTGACCGTTATAAGAAAAGTGGGGTCCATATGTGAGAGAAGAAGTCAAAAATTACGACTTGAATAGTAAAATAACGGTCAAAAAATCAATTTTTTGGGGCAAAAAATCCCTACCAAACGGGGCTTAAGTTGTCCTACATCAATCTTCCTCAAGCAGGCTTGGGCAGAATAGCTGAGCAAGTACAAGTGATAGAACTAAGCTAGCAGCAAATGAAAATTTTTATCTGCTTACATATTCTGCTGAGGATTCACAAGTGTTTCAAATTACATATTTTGAACAATAAATTTAGCGCATCTAAATATTATTTTATAATCAAGAAACTTGTAGACCAAACTCCCAGGCCCCAAATTTTGACAGTTTTCATTTCCAACTCCAGGATCCACACTCCTAAATAGTCATATGGAAATCCAGGAAACACCAAGTAAGCATTTAAGCATAAGCAATCATACAACAAAATCATGTCTTGTAAACAATACAATCTGCACCCAGAACATCAACTTCACGTGATGCTCAAAGGAGAGGGAAAAGTAATCATTCATTGATAAAACGAAACTCTTAATGTTAAATCAAGAAAGCAGCAGTCCAATAATTTTAATTAGTAGAAAAGGAGATCCACAGGTTTATAAATGTCAATGCTACTATAAACAAGTGCCCTTCTCTTGGTCAGTCATCCTAGAGGCATATATCATGAAAACATCAGCATGGAGACAATTTTACCTAACCACTTGATGAAGTAAGTTCCAATGTAATAAGACAAATTACAATATAAGATCGAATGTACATAACTTCATTTGCTGGAGTAATAGTGGGAAAAGCAAGAACAACAATAGAATCACTTACCCCGGATTATAATATTTAAGCATAGATTGAGAAACAAATCTGGAATTGGGACAAAGAAAAAATTATCACAACTACCCAAAGAAAAGGAGATGCATATTGGTTTTAGTGTAGAATACAGTCCATTTGTTGATTCATCTTATCCCTCTTTCCCATTGATACAAATAACTTTTTCTAAATACAAATTCTATGGATGTGTATGAAACTACTTGCCCACCCAACTAGGAAATCCTGGCTCTGACAGAATGTTTTCCACAAGAATCTTAGGACGGAAACACAATAGTAAAATGAGTCTACTTCAAATATTTACTGACCAAACAAAGTATCAAACACAGAAAGACATGATGGAAAAAAAGTAACAGTATTATTCTTATAATTGCAATCAACCATGCATTTGCTAAAGATGCTGTGAGATTTCGAAAGCACTATGCAACAACACCTTAATTATAACATGATAAGGCAAATCAGCATTAATTGATATATGTCATTTTGCATCCATCCAATTGATTATTAGGTAATGAGAGTATCCAGAAATATATCTGCTGGTGTATACAAAATAAGCAGTAAATAACATGGACAAGTTATTGAGAGTATTTAGCAACTACCATCATCTTCCACGCGAGGTAACCAACCGGACCATCTTTATTCTCCTCCTTATCACCTTCCAAACATGTAATCCCCCTCCTCAGCACCTCTTTGACAAACAAAACAGCACCTTCCTTATCCCCCAATTCCCAATAGAAAGAAATTACCTTCTCAATCATACTAAAGCTTGGTTTCAACCCAACACAATCCATGTCCACCAAAAGATCAACCACATCCCCAACCTTATTCTTCCTCTCAATTAAGTTCTTCATCCATGAACACATTATTGACACCATCAATTCCATCGTCTCCTTGTCAACCCTATTCTCCTTTTGCAGCCACTCAAACACCTCCAACGTGCACCAACAGTCCCTCCCTTCCTGCGAAAAATACACCAAGACTAACTGCAACTCACGGGCTGACAATTTATCATTCATTTCCTCAAGCACATCAGAGGGTTCCCGAGTCATGCGCTCCAGTTCCTCAATTGCCTCAAAAAATCGTTCACTCATTTCATCCTCACCGTCACTGGTGACAAACATATCCAATTCAACTGATTTCAGGAGCCTAAAATTCCGAAGCTTGTTTCTTTTTGTGCTGACAGAACCAGGGCTCTCCGGAACTGAAATTCTTGCACAAGATTTCACTCTGAGCTTGTTAGGCTTCAGGGTTGCAAGAAAATTATACTCTCTTGACGAAGAGCCGTGAATCAACCGAAGATTGTTGATAGCAGCAATCCCACTAACTGAAGCCGCCATTTTTCCCAATTTTGATTTACCGAAGCAAGGGTATCAATGGTAAGCCGGAAAAAGTTTCACAGATACAAAAACTGACTTCTCCTTTTCTCTTTTTTTCAAGAAATTCAGGACAAACAAACATTAGATCAGAACTATGGGGAAAAGAAAAAAGAAGAAGATGTTGATGAAGAAGTAGATTGATGGAAGAGCAAAGTAATTGATGGGTTTTTGCTAAAAGACGAACTTAAGTAAATTTGAAGCAAAGATACAATTTATAAACTTAGGAAATCAAAGGTAAAAGCAAAGTATTTGAGAAAGGGATATAATTCTTATGGAGTTTCAATAGCATAGTCGAAGAATCGAAGCAAAGACCCAGAAATATGAGACGTGTCCAATTGCAGACAGTCCAAGGAATCCATGGAGGACTGGAGATTGGTTACGGGCATTCAGTTGCAATCAAGCCCCCAACTTTTTGTTTGCTTGTTTCTTTTTTTATTTTTTTCGGTTTTCTTCTTCTGGAAGGACGGAGGCGGGCGACCCTGATAAAGGAGGGGACTTAGCTCCGTTTAGCCGTCGTTCTCGTTCTCATTTTCTGCTTATTTTAAATCACACAATTTTCTATAAAATAATCACATACAAATCAAAAAAAAATTATTTTTTTTAATCACTTATTTCTCAAAAAGCACTATTTCAATTATTAAAATTTGAAAAGAATAGAAGTCAAATGGGGGCATATTGATGTGGAAAATCAAAATATTTTTATATTGAAAAACCAACCAAACTATATGAAATTTACCTAAGGATGCGTTTGTCACCCATTATTTGAGAAGAATGTATTATGAAATAGTGATTGATATTGGAATATGTAATTAAAAATGAAGGAAATGTTTTTGATTTACTTAAAATTTTATTTTAATGGAAAACGTGTGGTTGAAAATGAGTATTGTAGAAACAATAATGAAAAAGAATGAGAGAAAATGGATGACAAACAGGGACTAAATGCTATTTGAACAAAACTTATTTGTTATTTGAAATTGATTCATAATTTTAACTTTAACTAGCAAATTGTGAACTTATCAAACTCAAATCCAGCTTGAAACTCAACTTCAATTGGCTTGTCTTTAGTTTAAGAATTGTGTCTATTTGAAATTGATTTCATAACAAAATCAACTCAAATTATAAGATTTCGGGATTACTAAAAACTATTTATGATGTAAAATATAGGGTTAATTATATGAATAGTCACTGAACTTTGCCTTATGTTACTACTTAATCATTGAACTTAAAAATGTAATTCAATGGTCACTGAACTTCGTCAAGTGTTACTAATTCATAACCGAACTTTAAAATGTATCTCAATGGTCACTGAACTTTGAACCGTGTTATTCATCCGTCATTCAAATGGAAAAATCCGTTAAGTCCAACAAACGGCGTCAACTTGAGTGATGAATGGGTAACACGGTGCAAAGTTCGATAACCATTGAGATACATTTTAAAGTTCGGTTATGAAGTAATAACACTTGATGAAGTTCAATAACCATTGAGTTACATTTTTAAATTCAGTATTAAGTAGTAACATAGGGTAAAGTTCAATGACCATTAAAATATATTTTTAAATTGAATTATTAAGCCCTTGTTTGAGTCTCATTCTTTCCAATATATATACACACACACATTCTTAAACAGTAATTTGATATCATTCAACCACACATTATTCAATAAAATAATATTACACGCAAATTTAAAATTTTTCCTTATTTTTAACTACACATTTTTCATCAATATACTATTTAAAAATTCATTTTATCCCTCAAAATGGGGATCAAACAAGGGCTAAACTTCTCAAATCGACCTCTATGAAAGAAGAAATCAAAGAAAATGAAGGGAAGAAAGAGGAAATAGAAAATCAGAGACCTATAAATTAAATAAAAATAGAATTGTTGCTAATATTCATCCATCATGGTGAAAAAGTATGTTTGATTTTTAGATTAACTGGTATCAATTCACCGTATCTCAAATTCCGCATAAATAGATTGAAAGAGAAATGGTTAGAACACTAAAAGAAATTGATAAAAAAAAATTAAATAAAAGTACAAAAATGTTTGAATAGTGCCAATGTAACTGAGGTCGATTTGATTTTTCAACTATGTTACTACTTAGTTACTGAACTTAAAAATGTAACTCAATGGTCACTGAACTTCGCCAAGTGTTATTATTTCATAATCGAACTTTAAAATGTATCTCAATGGTCACCGAACTTTGCACCGTGTTACCCATCCGTCACTCAAATGGAAAAATCCGTTAAGTCCAACAAACAACGTTACTCGAGTTAACGTTGTTTGTTGGACTTAACGGATTTTTCCATTTGAGTGACGGATGGGTAACACGGTGCAAAGTTCGGTGACCATTGAGATATATTTTAAAGTTCGATTATGAAGTAGTAACATTTGACGAAGTTCAGTGACCATTGAGTTACATATTTAAATTCAATGACTAAATAGTAACATAAGGCAAAGTTCAGTGACCATTCATATAATTAACCCGTAAAACATATTGTTAAATGGATGGAAGAAGAATTGAATAAAAATGAAAAAAAAAATGTAATAGTGGAGAGAAAGCATCCAAATTCCGTATTGAGTCCATAAGACTATTTCAAAAATAGGACGACGAGACAAGTAATTCTCATCGTTATGCCATGATATACGATGGATTTTGATCATTCGAGTTCGTTTAGGACTCGTAAACTAATTTTTATAGTTTCAGCGTTATTTCTGTCATTTAGTTTTTTTTTTTTTTTTTGGGGGAATCTTTTCAGTTTTATTTTGTTTACACTTTATTTTCATTACTTTTAGTTATTTTAATCTATGTTTCCATGTAAACCCTTATAAATAAGAGGTTATTTCGTTGTTTTGATTTTCTTTTCAATAATAAAATTTATGAGTTTATTCTCTTCAAATTCCAAACTTCGTTTTTTTAAGGTTTTCGCTTGAGTTCCTTGTTTCGCACTGTGTCAAATATGAGTAGAAAAACTTCTTTCAAATAATCAAAATATTAAGCCCTCATTGGGTGTAGCTAAAAATTAAAATTTTAGTAAATTTTGATAAAAGTTAATAGAATGTGTGATTGAAAAATTGTAGTTCCTATAAAATATGAAATTAAAGTTAATTATTAATTTTGACTTAGATTAAAATCTTCATCAAACAATAGTTAAATAAATTTAAGAGCCTAGACAAACGTACGAAACATTTTTATCACCAAACATTTGAATCATTTTACAGTTTGAGTCTAGATCGATTTAAACTTTTAATTGTAAGTTATTGATAGTTTTTCTATAAATTTCACTATAGAAATGGTAATGGAACAGGGAAGCCCTACCCTTCCGTCCAGTCAAGGGTTATAGGAGGCAGGAGCAAGGCGCGACTATCCCGTTAAAACGGGACAATTAAGTGCTAAACAAACAGATATTTTGCATCCCTATCTCACTATTCCAAATTCAGGTATGCTATCTATATATACAGTTAATTTGACAGATGATGATGCGACACGCATTTTGGTACTTGATTTGAATTTCATTTATTCAAATCAATGGACAAATGCATGACACCTCATCATGAAAATCATCTAGCTTAATTGTTCAAAATTATGCATGCGCAAGTGAGTTGGGTGAGTATTGGTGGGAACACGTGATGGCATGAGAGGTGTTTAATTGTTTATTAAAGAGAGGCAAGTGAATCTCTCACAAGACATGAGTTTTGGTTGCTGTGCATTGTCTCCTTCAACGACTTGGTGATGCAGCTTTCAACGTGCTCTTCTCGATATTCACTCACTCACATTTATATTGGATAAACAGATACTGTACACAGAGGATACAATCTCTCTCTTCTTTACTGTTTCTCATGCATGTTCCATTCTGGGGTCTGCCTATTAAATAATTTTGTATCTAAAGCTGCTGACCACACTCTCTCTGACACCCCACCTCCATCGCTGGCCTCCTTTCTTTGCCTCAGGGGAAAAAAAAAAGGAAAAAAGATCAGAGCTTTTTCAAGAGAATTAACTAGCATTCAGATTCTCTCTCTTACTCATTAATCTTCATAACTTTTACCTAAATTGTTGCAGTTGTTAGGAGGAGATAATAACTAATAGCTCCTACACATATCTTGTTCTTTTCGTTGTTCTTTAGCTGTAATTCAATCGCCCATCTTTTATGGGAAAGAAAGGGGGATCATCTTGGCTGACGGCGGTCAAAAGAGCATTCAGATCTCCTGTTAAAGACAGTGAAAAGAGGAACAATAGAAACAAAGATGAACAAGAAGAGGAAGAAGAAAAGGTATCGTTAGTTGCGCTGTGTACATCTGGAATAGTCAATCTTTTGATTTACTTCCTTCGATGAGTAAACTCCTTCACTGGTTTTTGTATGCAGAAGAGGGAGAAACGTGGATGGCTTTTTCGGAAACTCAACCATCAGGATATCAATGCAACCCCGCCTAAAACGAGCAATGCTGCCGGTGCTGCACCTTCAGTGACCAGTTCTTTGGAAGCTGCTTTTATTCATGACCCAAGGCATGCTGTGGCAGTGGGAGTGGCTGCAGCTCAAGCTACATCTGAAGTTCCAAGGCTTTCAAGGCCTCCCACAAATTATGCAAAGGAGCATCGTGCTGCCATTGCCATTCAAACAGCTTTCAGAGGATATCTAGTGAGTTGTTTATATTTAGATCATTCAAACTGCCATTAATGGATAAATTTCATGTCGAATAAAGATGAAAAACGTAGACCAATTTATTAGGACTTGAACTACCCCTCATAACAAGGTTGACATTTTAAGATAGAACCTCAATTTTAATATGGTATTAAAACTCATTAAGCTCTAATGAGCAATTTGATCCTATCAAGACTTGAAAAAATGAGTATATGGATTTCAAGATTGGTTTGCTCAAACGAGCCACCATCTTGCTGGGCATGTTAAGGGATAAATTTCACATTGAATAAAGATAATAACACAGAACAAATTATAAGAGTTTGAGTTACTCCTCTTAACAAGGTTGACATTTTGAGATGGAACCTCAAATCTTAATAGTTATTGTATCATTAATTTGTACCCAAGGGGAAAGATAGTAAATTCTCTATCTTGTCAAATATAT